TCTAATAGGTAGGTAGAATCTATATTTACAGGGACTGAATACAATTTATTTATTTATCCAGATTTCCACTGTTTATTGGGTAACCGGTTAAAACTCAACCCAAAATTTTCTCTCGAAAAATACCCAACGACACAACAAATCGTGCCACGGTTTTTCCAGATATTTTTAACATATCGTCTATCGTTTTAGAAAACAATCTTCCGTTCTACTGCTTTTGAAAAACATCTCTGCTTTTTTTAATTCTTCGGAATTGAAAATTTCTTCTTTGTATCATATACTTTGAATGAAACAAAGGTAAATCTTACTTGCCTAAACCCTAATATTAAAATGCCACGATTCGTTAATTCTATCATTCACAGATGTCAGTGTAAGGCATGATGTTCACTGCTTATTCGCTATATTTTGTATAGATGACCTTGCTTCCTTTTTAGAGGGAACATTTGTCGATTTGCACTTATACGCATAGTCAGTTCATAAGTGGGGGATTTAAAATATATGATATAATACTTCCACGTATTATACGAATTGTGAACTAAATAAAATTTAGCTCATATCAATTTTTTCTAAATCATTTGCTTACATCATCTAGGTTAAGCTTACATACATTTCTGGGGTTTGGCTTTATAAAAAGCAAATATTGGCATAATATGCATATTATGTAAAAGCCACTAAAAATCTTGTAAACACAATGAAAACAATGCCAAAACAATTGGTATACAACATAAAACAAAAAACGGTTAATTATATATTATTGTTGTTATGTAGACATATAATAAAAACCGTGGTCGAAATTCTTGCTGTTATAAACATGCCATTATAAAATCTAAAATATCATCATTTTGTGTTTTTATTATTGTTAAATGTTTTTTCTATAGAATTTAATTAAAAGCATTTTTATACTTCTTAAATAGGGACAAAAGTATGGTATATGACAATCATACGGGTATTTTCACTTTCTCTACTTTAACCCCATAAAAAAGAGTCTTAGTTAGAAATGATTTGTATATATCTGGTAAAGGGCCCCCACACCTCCTAAAACTCATAAAACTGCTAAAATTTTGCTTAAATCTTGAAAATTCCTAAAATTCCCCTAAAATGGCCGTCAATCTCCTAAAACTCTTACTTAAATTAAAAATTAAAATGAATGAAACTTTTTAGGTAAGGTAGTAATTATTAACACGTGATGACTGTAAAAAATTAAAGGCGCCCCGAGGAGTAAACCACTTTAAAATATTAGAGACCAACGTTCAATGTTAGTGGACGTTGTGTTGTGATTTTTTTCCTTATCAGTCGTTATCAATAAGGAAAACTTGCTTAATCAGTGCTTAGCGAGGCGTTGCGCTTGACTACCCTTGTTATTGTTATCCTTAGCCGTTAATTCGTAAGCGATTTTTTGCCTTTCGAATTTCAGATTTTACCACTTTTTCCGCATTTTTATGCCATTTTTCCAAAAATGAGTTTTCAGGATACTTCTTTAAGCGTTCAAAATAAAATTATCTTAGATTAATTGCAATTAGAACTCCGTTATTGAACCATGGTTTCGTATTTGCTCAATATTTGTTTTTTAATTCTTTTTTTGTTGTGTTATTTGTAAAACACATGTTTAACTTATTGTAGTTATAATCTATATCATCAGTCTGTCTGTAGCTTTCATTGAATTGCAATAAATCATTTTTTATTGACTCAATGTCAACAATTTTTTTTGTGTAAAATATGTTTTTTTGTAAAGTGTTTAAGCAAGTTTTAATTTGCAAAACTTGTATTTCATGATCGCTTAGACTATTTCCAATTACAGATATTGTCATATCGCGCTCAGCAATGTTGCTGTAAAGCACATGGTCAATAACGGTTCTGGTAGTCTTATTTTTTTTTGTTGCTATCCTTGTAGGTATAGACATGTTTAGTATTCTAACTGCATTCGTTTGGCAAATATTTATGTATTCCTGTGCTTGTGTAGATAAGTTGGATACATCAATATTTTGATCACCTAGTATGAGAGCTGTTTTATTGGTAATATGCGATAATTCTTCATCCAGGAACTGTAAGGGAACGTCCTTGTTGTTGCCTGGTGGTGTATAAATTGTGCCAATATACATATTATATTCCTGGAGTTTAATTAGTACAAAGGATAGATCCATGTCTTCAACAGTTTTAATTGTAGTAAATTTTATGTTATCCTTGATAAAAACTGCCGCTCCCCCTCCACGTTTTCTCCTGCTTGAAAAAACAGCCCTAATTCGGAATATTGTAGAACTGTTTTTCTTCTGGTGAAACCCATGTTTCTGAGACATCTAGAATGTCTATTTTGTCCTTTAATAGATGAAGTATTAGTTCTATAGAGTCCAATTTGTTTTTCATAGATCTTGCATTTATATAGAGTACCTTTAAATTGTCATTATTTAAGTTGGTTTTTCCAACGTAGTCATTAATATTACTATATGAACAACATATATCGTTTACAGCCATTGAGAGGGTAAGAACTTAAATTAACATTAATTACTCAATTGAATTTAATTTATACATTGTCTTGTGTGGAATTGGTCACTGGTACTTCTGATATAATTTTATCTATTTGTTCACTGCTTCTCAGCAGTAAAATTTTAGAAGACTCAGTTTCTCTACAAAACACTAGACCATTCTTGCACCAAACATACTTATAACCTTTTTCTTTTAAGGATCTAGCTTTGTTGAAAAGTACTCTTGAATCCTTTGACATGTCCTCATTAATATAAATGTTTCTGTTGTCACCGGATAGTTTGCAAGATGATGATTCAATTTTTCCTTTTAATTTTCTTTTATCGAACATTTGGTTGCGATCTTGTACATTTTTAAAAGTAATTAAGAAAGGACGGCCCCTAGGGCCATTACCAGCTAGACCTTTTACAGTAAAATCTTGCGTTACTACATCCAGATAACTTAAAATTTTCTGGGCGTCATTTTTGGCTTCTTCATCAGTTTTGGATGTAAGACCAATGAGCACATCATTTTTTTCTTTGTGTTCATCAAATGTGTCATGTTTTTTTTGCTTAAGAAGGTGTATTTCTCTTTGTAACTCTGCAACTTTCTTCTTGGTTGATTCATGTTCTTTATGTAGTTTTTTATAGTTATCAGAAATAACTGCGACGCTTTTTCTTACATCTTCTATTATATCCCCATAAAACGTTAAGGATTTTTCAAGATCGTTAAATCTTTTGTCAATGTAATCAATTAAAGTTTTGTTGGGTTAGGTTTTAGTAATTTTTGGTGATTTAATGTTCTGTGATGCTGTAATTTTGGTATTTTTGCTTGATACCTTCTTTGAATTTCTCGTATTTCTCGTGTTTGTGATAATGTTTTCCTCATCCGAACAAGAGTCTTCTGAGGAAGATCCCTCATTACACTTTCCACACGCCCAGTTGAGTTCCTTTTTTTTTCACTTTTTGTAGGTTGGTTTTGGAAAGTCCAGTGCATTTAGCAGTAAGGTGGTACCAGGTTCCGCATTTTGAGCTACACTGCACTGAATATGTTCCATTCTCAAGTGTTATTGAGCACTTTGGACAAGTCATCTTAATTTTAAGGTTAGGAAATCGACTATGATTTTCCGAGAATACTATTGTTAGTATGAACAAATTTATTTTGAGATTTTGACTCTATGTGGAGTTGAAGTGGTTCATCTGGAGTATTGGCAGCTATATTTTTACCAACCTCAACAAAAAATTTCTTTAGATCGTAACATATTTGTTTTTTGTCTGTTGTCACTATGTTTCCAGTTTTTAGGGCGGGTATGGTAGTAGATGGTACGTCCTTACAGTTCCTTATTATCGCATTAATTGTCTTCCAGGTTTTTTTGTGTTTTTTTCACTGTTTGTAAACTTTTCTTCATAATAGGATGTTTTTGCCTTTCGAATTTCAGATTTTACCACTTTTTCCGCATTTTTATGCCATTTTTCCAAAAATGAGTTTTCAGGATACTTCTTTAAGCGTTCAAAATAAAATTATCTTAGATTAATTGCAATTAGAACCCCGTTATTGAACCATGGTTTCGTATTTGCTCAATATTTGTTTTTTAATTCTTTTTTTGTTGTGTTATTTGTAAAACACATTTTTAACTTATTGTAGTTATAATCTATATCATCAGTCTGTCTGTAGCTTTCATTGAATTGCAATAAATCATTTTTTATTGACTCAATGTCAACAATTTTTTTTGTGTAAAATGTGTTTTTTTATAAAGTGTTTAAGCAAGTTTTAATTTGCAAAACTTGTATTTCATGATCGCTTAGACTATTTCCAATTACAGATATTGTCATATCGCGCTCAGCAATGTTGCTGTAAAGCACATGGTCAATAACGGTTCTGGTAGTCTTATTTTTTTTTGTTGCTATCCTTGTAGGTATAGACATGTTTAGTATTCTAACTGCATTCGTTTGGCAAATATTTATGTATTCCTGTGCTTGTGTAGATAAGTTGGATACATCAATATTTTGATCACCTAGTATGAGAGCTGTTTTATTGGTAATATGCGATAATTCTTCATCCAGGAACTGTAAGGGAACGTCCTTGTTGTTGCCTGGTGGTGTATAAATTGTGCCAATATACATATTATATTCCTGGAGTTTAATTAGTACAAAGGATAGATCCATGTCTTCAACAGTTTTAATTGTAGTAAATTTTATGTTATCCTTGATAAAAACTGCCGCTCCCCCTCCACGTTTTCTCCTGCTTGAAAAAACAGCCCTAATTCGGAATATTGTAGAACTGTTTTTCTTCTGGTGAAACCCATGTTTCTGAGACATCTAGAATGTCTATTTTGTCCTTTAATAGATGAAGTATTAGTTCTATAGAGTCCAATTTGTTTTTCATAGATCTTGCATTTATATAGAGTACCTTTAAATTGTCATTATTTAAGTTGGTTTTTCCAACGTAGTCATTAATATGATATATTATATGAACAACATATATCGTTTACAGCCATTGAGAGGGTAAGAACTTAAATTAACATTAATTACTCAATTGAATTTAATTTATACATTGTCTTGTGTGGAATTGGTCACTGGTACTTCTGATATAATTTTATCTATTTGTTCACTGCTTCTCAGCAGTAAAATTTTAGAAGACTCAGTTTCTCTACAAAACACTAGACCATTCTTGCACCAAACATACTTATAACCTTTTTCTTTTAAGGATCTAGCTTTGTTGAAAAGTACTCTTGAATCCTTTGACATGTCCTCATTAATATAAATGTTTCTGTTGTCACCGGATAGTTTGCAAGATGATGATTCAATTTTTCCTTTTAATTTTCTTTTATCGAACATTTGGTTGCGATCTTGTACATTTTTAAAAGTAATTAAGAAAGGATGGCCCCTAGGGCCATTACCAGCTAGACCTTTTACAGTACAATCTTGCGTTACTACATCCAGATAACTTAAAATTTTCTGGGCGTCATTTTTGGCTTCTTCATCAGTTTTGGATGTAAGACCAATGAGCACATCATTTTTTTCTTTGTGTTCATCAAATGTGTCATGTTTTTTTTGCTTAAGAAGGTGTATTTCTCTTTGTAACTCTGCAACTTTCTTCTTGGTTGATTCATGTTCTTTATGTAGTTTTTTATAGTTATCAGAAATAACTGCGACGCTTTTTCTTACATCTTCTATTATATCCCCATAAAACGTTAAGGATTTTTCAAGATCGTTAAATCTTTTGTCAATGTAATCAATTAAAGTTTTGTTGGGTTCGGTTTTAGTAATTTTTGGTGATTTAATGTTCTGTGATGCTGTAATTTTGGTATTTTTGCTTGATACCTTCTTTGAATTTCTCGTATTTCTCGTGTTTGTGATAATGTTTTCCTCATCCGAACAAGAGTCTTCTGAGGAAGATCCCTCATTACACTTTCCACACGCCCAGTTGAGTTCCTTTTTTTTCACTTTTTGTAGGTTGGTTTTGGAAAGTCCAGTGCATTTAGCAGTAAGGTGGTACCAGGTTCCGCATTTTGAGCTACACTGCACTGAATATGTTCCATTCTCAAGTGTTATTGAGCACTTTGGACAAGTCATCTTAATTTTAAGGTTAGGAAATCGACTATGATTTTCCGAGAATACTATTGTTAGTATGAACAAATTTATTTTGAGATTTTGACTCTATGTGGAGTTGAAGTGGTTCATCTGGAGTATTGGCAGCTATATTTTTACCAACCTCAACAAAAAATTTCTTTAGATCGTAACATATTTGTTTTTTGTCTGTTGTCACTATGTTTCCAGTTTTTAGGGCGGGTATGGTAGTAGATGGTACGTCCTTACAGTTCCTTATTATCGCATTAATTGTCTTCCAGGTTTTTTTGTGTTTTTTTCACTGTTTGTAAACTTTTCTTCATAATAGGATGTTTTTGCCTTTCGAATTTCAGATTTTACCACTTTTTCCGCATTTTTATGCCATTTTTCCAAAAATGAGTTTTCAGGATACTTCTTTAAGCGTTCAAAATAAAATTATCTTAGATTAATTGCAATTAGAACTCCGTTATTGAACCATGGTTTCGTATTTGCTCAATATTTGTTTTTTAATTCTTTTTTTGTTGTGTTATTTGTAAAACACATTTTTAACTTATTGTAGTTATAATCTATATCATCAGTCTGTCTGTAGCTTTCATTGAATTGCAATAAATCATTTTTTATTGACTCAATGTCAACAATTTTTTTTGTGTAAAATGTGTTTTTTTGTAAAGTGTTTAAGCAAGTTTTAATTTGCAAAACTTGTATTTCATGATCGCTTAGACTATTTCCAATTACAGATATTGTCATATCGCGCTCAGCAATGTTGCTGTAAAGCACATGGTCAATAACGGTTCTGGTAGTCTTATTTTTTTTTTGTTGCTATCCTTGTAGGTATAGACATGTTTAGTATTCTAACTGCATTCGTTTGGCAAATATTTATCTATTCCTGTGCTTGTGTAGATAAGTTGGATACATCAATATTTTGATCACCTAGTATGAGAGCTGTTTTATTGGTAATATGCGATAATTCTTCATCCAGGAACTGTAAGGGAACGTCCTTGTTGTTGCCTGGTGGTATATAAATTGTGCCAATATACATATTATATTCCTGGAGTTTAATTAGTACAAAGGATAGATCCATGTCTTCAACAGTTTTAATTGTAGTAAATTTTATGTTATCCTTGATAAAAACTGCCGCTCCCCCTCCACGTTTTCTCCTGCTTGAAAAAACAGCCCTAATTCGGAATATTGTAGAACTGTTTTTCTTCTGGTGAAACCCATGTTTCTGAGACAGCTAGAATGTCTATTTTGTCCTTTAATAGATGAAGTATTAGTTCTATAGAGTCCAATTTGTTTTTCATAGATCTTGCATTTATATAGAGTACCTTTAAATTGTCATTATTTAAGTTGGTTTTTCCAACGTAGTCATTAATATTACTATATGAACAACATATATCGTTTACAGCCATCGTTTTTAAAAATTGGAATGTCTTCTCTAGTCAGCTATCCAATAGGATTAATAGCAGACACAATGTTATGAATATACCACCTCATAGATTGGCAATATTTAAAAAAGGATGTTTTTATACTGGTATTAAAGCATATAATAAGTTACCTTTACATATTAAAAATTGTATATGTTCTAAAGAGTATAAAAAGTATATATTGGAATACTTAATCGAAATAGAACCCTACACTCTGGATGAATATTTTAATTATGTGCCTTAATATTTATTTTTACCAATTTGTTTATCTGTATATCCTGACTATATTTCTGTAAATATGTGTATATTCTTATGTGTATATTTATAAGAAATAAAATTATTATTATTATTATTATTATTATTATTATTATTATCATGTCAAAGGATTCAAGAGTACTTTTCAACAAAGCTAGATCCTTAAAAGAAAAAGGTTATAAGTATGTTTGGTGCAAGAATGGTCTAGTGTTTTGTAGAGAAACTGAGTCTTCTAAAATTTTACTGCTGAGAAGCAGTGAACAAATAGATAAAATTATATCAGAAGTACCAGTGACCAATTCCACACAAGACAATGTATAAATTAAATTCAATTGAGTAATTAATGTTAATTTAAGTTCTTACCCTCTCAATGGCTGTAAACGATATATGTTGTTCATATAGTAATATTAATGACTACGTTGGAAAAACCAACTTAAATAATGACAATTTAAAGGTACTCTATATAAATGCAAGATCTATGAAAAACAAATTGGACTCTATAGAACTAATACTTCATCTATTAAAGGACAAAATAGACATTCTAGCTGTCTCAGAAACATGGGTTTCACCAGAAGAAAAACAGTTCTACAATATTCCGAATTAGGGCTGTTTTTTCAAGCAGGAGAAAACGTGGAGGGGGAGCGGCAGTTTTTATCAAGGATAACATAAAATTTACTACAATTAAAACTGTTGAAGACATGGATCTATCCTTTGTACTAATTAAACTCCAGGAATATAATATGTATATTGGCACAATTTATATACCACCAGGCAACAACAAGGACGTTCCCTTACAGTTCCTGGATGAAGAATTATCGCATATTACCAATAAAACAGCTCTCATACTAGGTGATCAAAATATTGATGTATCCAACTTATCTACACAAGCACAGGAATACATAAATATTTGCCAAACGAATGCAGTTAGAATACTAAACATGTCTATACCTACAAGGATAGCAACAAAAAAAAAATAAGACTACCAGAACCGTTATTGACCATGTGCTTTACAGCAACATTGCTGAGCGCGATATGACAATATCTGTAATTGGAAATAGTCTAAGCGATCATGAAATACAAGTTTTGCAAATTAAAACTTGCTTAAACACTTTACAAAAAAACACATTTTACACAAAAAAAATTGTTGACATTGAGTCAATAAAAAATGATTTATTGCAATTCAATGAAAGCTACAGACAGACTGATGATATAGATTATAACTACAATAAGTTAAAAATGTGTTTTTACAAATAACACAACAAAAAAAGAATTAAAAAACAAATATTGAGCAAATACGAAACCATGGTTCAATAACGGAGTTCTAATTGCAATTAATCTAAGATAATTTTATTTTGAACGCTTAAAGAAGTATCCTGAAAACTCATTTTTGGAAAAATGGCATAAAAATGCGGAAAAAGTGGTAAAATCTGAAATTCGAAAGGCAAAAACATCCTATTATGAAGAAAAGTTTACAAACAGTGAAAAAAACACAAAAAAAACCTGGAAGACAATTAATGCGATAATAAGGAACTGTAAGGACGTACCATCTACTACCATACCCGCCCTAAAAACTGGAAACATAGTGACAACAGACAAAAAACAAATATGTTACGATCTAAAGAAATTTTTTGTTGAGGTTGGTAAAAATATAGCTGCCAATACTCCAGATGAACCACTTCAACTCCACATAGAGTCAAAATCTCAAAATAAATTTGTTCATACTAACAATAGTATTCTCGGAAAATCATAGTCGATTTCCTAACCTTAAAATTAAGATGACTTGTCCAAAGTGCTCAATAACACTTGAGAATGGAACATATTCAGTGCAGTGTAGCTCAAAATGCGGAACCTGGTACCACCTTACTGCTAAATGCACTGGACTTTCCAAAACCAACCTACAAAAAGTGAAAAAAAAAAGGAACTCAACTGGGCGTGTGGAAAGTGTAATGAGGGATCTTCCTCAGAAGACTCTTGTTCGGATGAGGAAAACATTATCACAAACACGAGAAATACGAGAAATTCAAAGAAGGTATCAAGCAAAAATACCAAAATTACAGCATCACAGAACATTAAATCACCAAAAATTACTAAAACCTAACCCAACAAAACTTTAATTGATTACATTGACAAAAGATTTAACGATCTTGAAAAATCCTTAACGTTTTATGGGGATATAATAGAAGATGTAAGAAAAAGCGTCGCAGTTATTTCTGATAACTATAAAAAACTACATAAAGAACATGAATCAACCAAGAAGAAAGTTGCAGAGTTACACAGAGAAATACACCTTCTTAAGCAAAAAAAACATGACACATTTGATGAACACAAAGAAAAAAATGATGTGCTCATTGGTCTTACATCCAAAACTGATGAAGAAGCCAAAAATGACGCCCAGAAAATTTTAAGTTATCTGGATGTAGTAACGCAAGATTGTACTGTAAAAGGTCTAGCTGGTAATGGCCCTAGGGGCCATCCTTTCTTAATTACTTTTAAAAATGTACAAGATCGCAACCAAATGTTCGATAAAAGAAAATTAAAAGGAAAAATTGAATCATCATCTTGCAAACTATCCGGTGACAACAGAAACATTTATATTAATGAGGACATGTCAAAGGATTCAAGAGTACTTTTCAACAAAGCTAGATCCTTAAAAGAAAAAGGTTATAAGTATGTTTGGTGCAAGAATGGTCTAGTGTTTTGTAGAGAAACTGAGTCTTCTAAAATTTTACTGCTGAGAAGCAGTGAACAAATAGATAAAATTATATCAGAAGTACCAGTGACCAATTCCACACAAGACAATGTATAAATTAAATTCAATTGAGTAATTAATGTTAATTTAAGTTCTTACCCTCTCAATGGCTGTAAACGATATATGTTGTTCATATAGTAATATTAATGACTACGTTGGAAAAACCAACTTAAATAATGACAATTTAAAGGTACTCTATATAAATGCAAGATCTATGAAAAACAAATTGGACTCTATAGAACTAATACTTCATCTATTAAAGGACAAAATAGACATTCTAGATGTCTCAGAAACATGGGTTTCACCAGAAGAAAAACAGTTCTACAATATTCCGAATTAGGGCTGTTTTTTCAAGCAGGAGAAAACGTGGAGGGGGAGCGGCAGTTTTTATCAAGGATAACATAAAATTTACTACAATTAAAACTGTTGAAGACATGGATCTATCCTTTGTACTAATTAAACTCCAGGAATATAATATGTATATTGGCACAATTTATACACCACCAGGCAACAACAAGGACGTTCCCTTACAGTTCCTGGATGAAGAATTATCGCATATTACCAATAAAACAGCTCTC